AGGGGTTTCGGCAGGCAGTGAGGCTCCTCCAGTGGACCATGCCTTGGCACTTGCCCCGGCCCCACCCCCTTCTTCCAGAGACCCTCAGAACTGTCCCATTCTTGCCCAGGCTCCCACAGGCATCCTTGACGCGAACGATGTAGAGCTGGCCATGCCCACCCAATAGGCCACACCCACTCCATCCACACACATCCAGTAGGCCACACCCATCCTGGCCACACCCATCCGGCCCCCTGAGGGCAACCACAATGCTGATGCGGCCCTCAATGAAATTGAGTTTGACACCCCTGCCTTAAAGGGAATAGCATGATAGATGCATCTGGATGTATATCACTGAAATGTTACGTATTTATTTACTTATTTATAAGATTTATACGACTGCCTATGTCACAGGTGTCAAACCCGATCGTGTCATGTGACATCGTGAAGTTTTTTTGCCTTTGCACGTGATGCATCCAGCCTGCAGGCCGCCAGTTTGACACCCATGGCCTATGTCATATATTGATTTTAGGCACTTCACAACAATCCATAAGAACAAAAAGAAAAACAGTTACTCCTCCCTCTCCCCAAGCATCAGACCAAGTAGCCTCCCAGCTAAGGCCCCATCCTGATCCAGTGCTTGGGAAAAGACCCAGGTCACCCCCATCCTCCAAAAGAGTAAATGGGTAGGTAGGGATCTCTCAGATGTACTGTAAAGGGTTGGGACAGCCATCAGAAAGGCTCACCTCAGAGCTTCCATCAGGTGGCAATATTTAAGCGAGGGAGCCTGGATACACACAGTTTTATCTAAACTGCTACCACAGACAAGTATTTCAGGAAGAGGCAGACCCACAAATAACATGGCCCTATTCTATGTGTTAAATATAATGCTAGCACCATGAAAATTGATACAATAAATCCATCCCAACTTACTCAAAATTAAAATCCTATCACAGATAATGAAAATTAGGATTATTGTTAACAAAGTAAAATTAATCAATGGATTTTTAACTAGATTGTGGAAGCCCGGTAAGTGAATGAAACCTAGAATTAATCAATATGCACACACACATAATTGAGGAGTATTTTTAAATGTTAATTTTTAATCATTCTGAGAAATTAATACAACTTTTAGAGAATTTGTATTACATTATTTCTCTCTAATGCTACCAAATTCCAACCAACTCTGGGTTGCTCAAAAATAAAGAATATAAAAACAAATAACTAAAGATATAACAATCCCTAAAAGGATTTACAAAATAGTTACAAACTGGTAATCCATACAATATAGACAACAGCCTACCCCAAGGCTAAAGAGAACAACTAGTATTTTCAGTCCTTCTGAAATACAATAGCAGGGGGAACCATCCAAACCTCTAAAACAACTTCATGCCAAAGGGCAGGAGCTCATACAGAGAAGGAACAATTCCTGGGTCCCAAAAATATGACATTGTTTAATCAACGGGACTTAGAGTGCAGACACTAGCCAGGCAAAAACCATGAATAGGCTGTCCCTTGAATAACTGGACCTAAAAGGTGTGTAGGCTTTATGGGTCATAACCAGCACCATGAATTGTACCTGAAAACACTGGCAATCTGTGCAAATTATAAAACCCATCATTGAACATGATACTGCATTCTGGACAAGTTGAGGCTTCTGAGCCAGAGGTCCCCAACCTTTTGGGCACCAGGGACCGGTTCCATGGAAAGAGGTTTTTCCGTGGACCAAAGGGTGCATGATTTTGTGTGCTGCCTGCATCCTGTGGATGGGGCTTTGCTTGTTTGTGGGGCCCGATAGCTGGCATGCCGCAACCCGGTACTCATCCACGGACCTGGGGTTGGGGACCCCTGTTCTAAGCAATCTAATGGCACCCCCCCTGGAGACCAAAACATTGCAGCCGTCAAGCTGTGAGATGACAAGGGGGTGGGGGTTGAGTGTCTAGAATATCATCAAATTCGGAAAAGGACACAAATGCACCAGATGGAGCTGTGCAAAGGTCTCCTTGACCATAACTCCCCTCTCCTCTTTGAGCAGGAGTTGAGTCTAAGAAAACTCACAGGTTGTGCCCCGCTCTTGAGGGAAAGTGCAAAATCCTCAAACTTAAGTGTCCGGGTAACCACAGCCACTTCTTGATCATGGTGAGAGAGAGCCAGAGTCCGTTCCTCCCCATCTAAGCCTGCCTTCAGGTGCTCAAACATCCTTACTTGGCCTGATGTTGAAAGATATAATGGGGTATAATTGGCTGATGTTATTGAATCCCAAATTGGTGAGTGACCTCACACAAAGGTTTCATGTAGATGTTGAACAAGAGGAGAGAAACTGTGGGGCCCTATTGTACCTCGCAAAGGGAGGGGTCTAGGGAACAACCTTCCCATGTCAACATCAACTGGACCTTGTCTTGAAGGACAGATCACTATAATGCAGTGCCCCCAATTCCTAGCTCTTGGAGTTGGTTCAGAAGAATACTGTGATTGATAGTATAAAAAGCTGGTGAAAGATCAAAAAGCATAAGATGGATGTATTATCCCATCCTACCTCCACATCAGGTCATCATCTCAAGTATGACCAAAACTCTCAATACCGAATAGTGGCCTAATACATGACTGAGATGTGTTTAGATAATCCATTTCCCCCAAAGTCTTTTGTAACTTAGGACAACCATCTTGTTAACAAGGTTGGAGATAGAATGATAATTGTCTAAAACGGTTCTAAAAATGAGAGCATCCTCAAGGAGACTAACATCACTGAATGGACCTAATTCCAGAAAACAAGTTGCTGGAGGAACTACACAGAGAACCTCAAAATCCCAACTCAGATACATCCTAGATCATAACACAAGACTATGTCCCTGGCATTTGGCCAGATGTGCCCAGTTGGAATTCATTCAGTCTGGATTTGATTTTCTTTATTTTTGAAATAATCAGATATTCCTCACAGCAGCCCTGCAAATGACCTAATACCATGCCATTCCCTAGCAGTGATCACACCACCCTCAGAAGGGCTGCTGAACAACCTTTGGTGGAAGCAATAAGGGCAGAGAAATATTAACATTTACCTGTCCTTATTGCCACAAGGTCATTCCCCATTATGTACTCTTAACCTTGTTCAGTCATACATATGTGAATATAAATTGGCACTGATGGCACTAACTCAAAAATAGATGAATTTTGTGTGCCATTTCAGTGCAATACAGTATTGTTACTTATGATCTGCTTGCAATCCTGTTAGCCTAGGGTTAATTATAATCAGTATGCTATGGTAGTTATATATCACTGCCTCCAGTCATCAAAGTGAGCTGTTGAATTTTTTCCAGTGAGATTATGAGGATCAGAACGGGTAAGAACAAGTATGCCTCAAATCTGGCAAAACCTGAATAGTATCTAGCGATTTTCAATCCTTAATTCCAGAAATGGTGCCACTCAGAATTAGGGTAGAATCTGGAGACCCTCCTGGACTCATGGTTCCTGCTTGAGATAGCAGTCAGGGCCAGGAGGATATTTGCAGAAATATATCTTGTATGTCAGTTGCATGTTTTCCGGAGGCAATGGTCACAGTCGCTCACACACTAATCACTTCCCAACTGAACTACAGCAATGCATTCTATATGGAGTTGCCTTTAAAGAGCATGCTGAAACACCGGCTGATTCCCAGTGCAGAGGCACATGCAGTGTGGTGAGCGCCCGTATAACACTAATGCTACATGATCTGCACTATGGATTCAGGTGCAATTCAAAGTACTGGTTGTTGCTTCTAAAGCCCTACATTGCATGAAGTTAAGTTAATCTGGGACATTCCCAGTGGGTTTCTGCCCATTCTACTAGATCCAGAGTAGTGGCTATGCCTCAGGTTCCTTCAGTGAAACAACATTGCCTGGTGGGGGTCTAGGAAGTGTGCCTTCTCTGTTTATGTTGCCTGCCACTCTAACCCATCACAGATTCCTATAGCTCTGAATCCACTAGCTTTGTAAAAGGCAATGAAGACCTGACTTTTCCCTAAGGTAACATCCACAGGATGTTAATGGAATTCATCATAATGTGTGTGAGATATGCAGATAATGTTACGGTGTTTCCATGAGGTTTACTTATTTTTGTTCACTGCCCAGAGTTCCTCTAGGCTATATCAGCAATTGTATAATTTTAACAGTGTAAGTACTGTTAAAAGATACGTGTATGTGCGCATGCACCTCTGTGTATGTTATTGAGCAGTGAGTTGGATCTAGTTGAAGTAGGTCTCATTAAATTCAGCGTGACATCTTTTCAATTGTATGGTTTCAGGGAATTTAGGCAAAGTCCTAGTCAATCAATACTTGGTTTATTCTTCCCAAAAAACAAAACGTGGTCTTGGTTTCTCAGTACAGCAGCAAATAGAACTTTTCATCTAATGTAAAATTGCTGAGTTTCAAATTTCATTCTAAAGGAATTTGTCGATGGAATCAAGGGAGATGATGCCATGTCTTTTGATGAGATAAATGTCCATCTCTTATTTGATTGCAGTCTCTTGCTAAATCAGATCATTATTATCACTGATTAGACAGCAGGGAAATATTTAGAAAGAGCCTGATTGAGTTATCTGTTTTTTGGTAAAGGAATGAGAAAAAAATAGGGCTGTTGATTTCACATTTGTAAATATACTGTAGTATATGAGAGCATGGAAGCATAAAACGAAAATCTTTGTAAGAGTGACAGCAGTCAACTAAATATTCATTCCATTTGAAGAGGAACATTGGGGACTTAGGTGCATTAGTAAATAAATCCATCCTACTGGACTTTTTCCTTAAGTTTTTAGGAATTCAGGAGATGTAAGTCAGGCATGTCAAACTCGCGACATCGCACGACATATTGTGACTTTTTCCCCAGTGCTGGCAATGGGGTGGGTGCGGTTTCGGCATGACGCATCCGGCCTGTGGGCCGGCAGTTTGACATGCCTGATATAAGTGTATTTTACAAATATAGTAAAAGATTTAAAAACATTACTGGAGCTCTAGCCATGAAGATGCTTAGTGGTATCTTCCTCTTTCTAGGACTCTGAATTTAGTAATGCTGACCAGATGGATCTATATGATGATGTGCTAGCTGCCAGCTCACAACCTTCTGAAAGTTGCACTAGCAGCTCTGAGCCACCAATTGAAAGTCGCCAAGATCAATCTTCTAAGTCAAACAGCAAATCACCTGCTATTTTGTATACGTACAGTGGACTGCGCAATAAAAGGGCTGCTGTTTATGTGGGCAGCTTTTCTTGGGTAAGTATTGTAAATTAGAACAGGAAATAAACAGTATAGTAAGTTGACTTTTTACAAAATACTCACTGATAATTTCAGAGAACCAAGTGCATTAAGTGCTTTTGTCATTTGTTCACTTTGATTCGATATAAACTATAATAGCCATAGATGCACTAATTGGTTGAAGCATTTACTCTATGCTACAAAACACAATTTTCTTCTGATGCAGGTGGTTCTTTTCAACAAGATAGAGATACACTGTTGGTGTATACCTGAAGGGAAGAATAGTAATTTTTGCTAGCATCCATTTGGACAAAGATTTGATGAAAAATTAATGTAGTTGGTTTAGAAGTTCTGCTTTTTAAACCAGGAATGCTGTTTTGAGGATACAGAAATCTGGATGATTATTAGATGGCAGCAGAAGAGTTATTTCTGTATCATCTAGACAACTCAGATACGATAACTTTATTCTAAGTTAGAGCTGCTGTGTTCTCCCCCATCCCTCCAAAGAAAAAAGAAAAAAAAATCTGCTGAAGTAAATTTGTATAGTAAGAGGAAATAGTCTAGTCTAAAGAAATGTAATGAGAGTTCAGCAAAGGAAAATTGCAGCATTATATTATTTTACTAATTAACAGATAGAAATCTTACAGAGGTTTAAGATAACATACTGTGATTTTATATCTCTTCATATACAGTGGACAACTGACCAGCAATTGATCAGAATAATCCGCTCTATAGGTGTTTATGATGTTGTGGAGCTGAAATTTGCTGAGAACAGAGCCAATGGCCAGTCTAAAGGGTGAGCAATGCAGGACTTCTCTGTTAATGATTGAAACATGGAAGGGCAATCATTAAGGAAGATACTTCAGAATAATCTGGACTACTTTATGATAAATCATATATATGAAAATATGCATGCAACATTCTGGCTTTTTGAATGTGGCTTTGTTTTTGAAGAAGCTGAACATTTTGCTCTATGCCTGCCTGACAAAAAATTTACTTTGATAAAAATTTATATTTGTTTTGAATGCTATTCTAGGGCCACATGTCAGATAAAGATAGAAAAGAATGAAATAAGTACTGATTAACTTAATTTGAACATTTGGTTTTGCTTGATTGCTTCAGGAATATGCAAAATATTTCAGACTTGAAATGGATAGAAAAGGTGCTTTCAAACATAGAGCATTTTAAATTAGTGAATTGTTCTTCTGTTATATGTGTATGTGTATCCTCTCTAAGGAACCTGTCTTTGCTACTCCTTCACCCTCCAGCTATACATAGAAGGATTCCTGAAGGGAAGAAAGACAGAATTTGTTTGCAGGAAAAGCAGACCACTGAAATCAGGGAGTGTGAAGGGAAGATCAGACTGAAAAGGAATAGAAAGGGGAAATGCATGTCTGAAATTAGCTAAGAGAAAGAATGACCAAGTGAAAATGGGAGATAGAAAACTAACCAAATTGGGTCAAGTTATTTAACCTAAAATGTTTAACTCTTCTGGCACTAAGGAGATGGTGTGGGCAATGGAAATAAATGAAGATACTGTTAGGTGGAATTCTGCAGAGATGAAGAGGCAAAGGCCTTGGAGGGAAGCTACTCTCCCCACTTCCCCCCCCCCCATATGATTAAGTACAAGGAAAGTTGGGGATTTACAATTGTACAGGAATGGCTGATTGTTCCCTTCCCTTCCCCTTGTTTAGATGGTATTCCTGACAAAAAGTTTCCTAATGGTCTTCCAATGGTTTTTCTGTGGCTCTTTGAACAGATACGCAGAAGTGGTTGTTGCTTCTGAAAACTCAGTCCACAAACTTCTAGAGCTGCTACCAGGGATGATTCTAAATGGAGATAAGATGGAAGTGAAGTTGGCTACCCGGCAAAACCTTGCACAGTTTGAGGCACAAGCCCGAAAACGTAAGTTTAGCATTTGCAGAAATAGGAATACTTTTTGGGGGAGGGGGGATGATTTCAGTGCATTTAAATATAATTGAAGCCCATCAAAACCTCCTGTTTGCCACCCTCCAAATTGCACGGGCTTAACTCTGAAGATTTCTGTCGTATCTGGAACACTCCATATCCATAAATAGCTGCACTCTGAACTTCCTCCGGAATTGTTGTGTCTCTAAAGGGGAAAGGTTATGGTACTCTTGTTTGGGACCGTTGAAAATTGGCAATACATGTCTTGGGTTTTTCTGTTTAGTTTCTCCATTGACTTCTTTAAGAGAATGATGTTGTAGGTCCCAGTGTCATCCAGGATTAATTTGATTCATTAGATTTTGATCCTGTTTTTCATCCCAGAGCTGAAGGTAGTATACATATCGCTCTGTCCTCTTCTTTTTTTCTCACAAAAGCACTTCTGTGAGGTAGGCTGGGCAAGAGAGAATGGCCCAAAGTAACCCACTGAACTTGCATCACTGAATGTTGCCTATAGACTAGTTTCCCCACTTAATACCTTAATAATCTGCAACATGCCGGTGTGAGGGGAAGACTTAAAGAAATAGAATTTAATTAGATCAGCCAAATAGCTAATTCCCACTGTCATGTTTCAGCCTAATCAGGTGTACTGTTTTTGTACTTTGCGGCTTTTTGTGATTTGTCCTAGACAATGGTCAGGTATCAGTATTGGGAATAATTTAAAATGCCTGTTTCCATTGAGTCAGAGACCTGGATCTCTCTACAAAGTTTAAGCCCTGTGTGAGCGTAAGAGCAGAATCTATCCTTCGTATGATATAAGCAATCAGAAACTAGAACAAAGTGGGGCTTTATTTATTTTACTTTGTCACAGTAATGTGACAAAAAGTATTTATTGGAGGTTTATACTGTATGAAAGGGAAATCCTGTACTACTCATGTGCTTAATACTTTTCCTCATTTGTGGTGTCTAACAGGGGTGCCTCCCAGGGCTCACTCGAGGGATTCCTCAGACTCGGTTGATGGCCGAGCAACTCCAACAGAGAACGCTATCCCACCCCCACGCATTGAGAAACCTCCTGTTTTACCTTTCTTTAACCGCCCTCCCTCTGCGCTTCCTCTGATGGGGCTGCCCCCTCCACCCATACCGCCCCCTCCGCCCCTCTCTTCGAGTTTTGGAGTTCCCCCTCCCCCTCCTGGTATCCATTACCAGCATCTCATGCCTCCCCCACCTCGACTTCCCCCCCACTTATCTGTGCCCCCTCCGGGGTCAGTGCCACCTGCCCTGCACCTCAATCCAGCTTTCTTCCCACCCCCAAATGCGGCCATGGGGCCTCCACCTGATGCCTACAGCAAGGCTTCTGCACCGTATAACCACAGCAGGTGAGAACGAGTCCGCTCTTAAGAATGTGCAAAAACTGGAAGCAGCACGAAGAATAGTGTCTGGGGTCTAATTAAAAGAAGGGACTTTGTAAATTGTTTGTTAGGATAGAACAGCGGTTCTCAACCTATGGGTCGCGACCCCATTTGGGATCGATCGACCATTTCATGGGGGTCGCCAAGCAAGGCTGTCCGCCATTTTTTCCCCCTTTTCCGGCGGGTGCCTTACCTTCCTTGGGCTGGGCCAGCTGGTGGTCGGCCTGCTCCGTCTCTGCCGCTTGCCAGCTACGCCTCGGCCGGCGCAGGGGGCAGAACCACGCATGCGCGGCGCTCCCAGGCAGGGAAAGTCCTCGACTTACGACCGTTTGGGTAGTCCTCGACTTACGACCGTTTGGGTAGTCCTCGACTTACGACCGGTTTAGTCCTCGACTTACGACCGGTTTAGTCCTCGACTTACGACTGGTTGGGGGTCACGGCATTAAAAAGGTTGAGAACCACTGAGATAGAAAAATGGGTTTTAGCTGGCCAATATAGAAACGACCGAAAATGCCTCCAGTCACAGGGAAAGATGTCATCACTTAAGACTCTTAAGATTACCATAATATCTGCTATGGTGGGAAATAGAAGAGAGAGAGAGAGAGATTCAGCAAACTACTTCCTTTTGGGGGGGGGGGCAAGGCTATTAATCATGCAGGTTGGGCAAAGGTCTGCTTGAAGAAATTGTTCTCTGCCTCTGAATGATGGGTGCATTCTTCCGTCCTGCAGCAGGGAGTTGGGCCCATTGCCTCCCCCTATTGGTGAATCAGAATTTGATGATATCATGAATAGGAATCGAGCAATTTCCAGCAGTGCCATATCCAAGGCTGTATCGGGGGCCAGTGCAGGTAAGTGCAGTTGCTTGATGCTGTCTTTCCTTCCTAGCTCAGGCCTCAATTTTAACATCTTGTTTTATGTTGTTACGCTGCAGGGGATTACAGTGATGCTATCGAGACTCTGCTTACAGCCATTGCTGTAATTAAACAGTCACGTGTAGCAAATGATGAGCGGTGTCGGGTCCTTATCTCTTCGCTTAAGGATTGCCTTCACGGCATTGAAGCCAAGTCTTACAGCATGGGCACTGGCAGCAGCAGCAGTTCCTCGAGGTTTGTTACAACCGGCAAAACTATTTGTATTTATCCGGCTGGATTTATTATATTCACGATTCATATATTCACGATTTTTCTTTGTTTGGGATTTGTACATCCATATAAGCAGTGTATCCCTTTGTAAAAAACAAAAAAACCCTAACAGCAAGTTTATCCACTTGACATTTCTTGTTATTTTCCAGAAAAAGACATCGGTCACGTGATAGGTCACCCAGTCGGTCACGTGAGAGCAGCAGGAGGCACCGAGATGTGGTTCATAATGAAGATCGACATGAGGACTATTTCCAAGAAAGAAGCCGGGAGCACGAGAGGCACAGAGACAGGGACAGAGAAAGAGATCGGCATCATTGAGAGAAGTGAGAACATTTTTTTAGATGGGGCAAAGGAATGTTAATATGCCTGTCTTTCTGTATTTCTTCCTCCCTTTAAAAAAAAAGAAAGCAATCTGTCTCTTCCCTCTAATTGGGTGTCCTAGTCCATATTGTTGTCAGCAGAATCCGTGGTGGGCATTGGGCAGGAGAGGTGATGTTATGTTAAGACTTGAATCCTGTTTTTTTCTTCATTTGTGGGCATTTAATTTTTCAATGCTTTGTAAAGTTGTTTCAGAAGTTTGGGGGTCTTGAAGGGCTAGAAAATAACTTTATTTGTCAGTGCTGTTCTTCCTGTTGTTGCCAATTCCTTTTTATGTGAAGCAGCTTCAAGAACAGATAGTCCTCAACTTACGACCATTTGTTCAGCAACCGTCCAGAGCAGGGGTAGGCAACCTCGGCTCTTTTATGACTCATGGACTTCAACTCCCAGAATTCCTGAGTCAGCTATGCTATGAGTCATAAAAGAGCCGAGGTTGCCTACCTCTGGTCCAGAGTTACCACAGTGCTGAACAAAGTGATTAGGATTGGTCCCCAAAGTTATGAAACAACTCCTGCAGCCATGTGATTGTGATCTGGGTGCTTGGCGATCCATTTGCATCTACAGCTGGTTGCCAGCTGTAGATGCAAGTTGTCCTTGCCGGCAGTTGCAGTTGTCCTTGCCGGTTTCCCCAGAAGCTTAATGGGGAAGCTGGCAGGGAGGGTCGCAAGCTGTTGTCACCTGCCGAGAGGATTCCCTCTTGTCTCTGCAGGCTGACTGAAAAACCTCTGTGCTGAGGCAGGATTTGGGTGTTTTCCGCCAGCCCCCGGAGTTGTGTCGCTGAGAGTTGGCTGAAAAAGCCTCATGCTGAAGTTTTCCTGTTCTGATAGTTCACCTCTTAGGGTGATTGAAGGAAAGTCTGAACCCTTTCAATGGTATAGTCCAGGACCAATAACTCGCCACAATTGCCCACTTCCAAATAGAGTGGGAGCAAGTGGGATCCTTCTCATTATGCTCGCTAATCCCCCGTGGGAGTCACAACCCATAACTTGAGAACTCCCGCCTTGAGCTTGCAGGGATGTAAGGAACCATGGCATCACTTAAAAATATTAGCACCTTCTCCAAAATTTGGCTGGTTTTTCCTGTTTTTTTTTCCCCCAGGGAAAATGATCACATTGCTAGCCATGCCCCCTTTGACCCCAAGGCAAGGCAGGAAAGCGAACTGTGGCCCCTGGGCCCAAAAGGATTATCCAGCACTGCTGTAGATAATCAGACCAGAGCTTCTAATTTAACTACTTTTAACAAGAAGGAAATCCTGAAGTACATTTGTGCAGAATCTGCTTTGTTCTTTCCTGGGTGAAGTATATGCCTAAAGTCATAATCTTATTTCAGAAGGAGAAATACTAGTAAAACAAAATTTCTAAAAAAAAATAATCTCAAATTTAACTGATTTTATTCCACTGTAATCTGCTCTGGGTTAAAGGGAATTGGACACTTAAAAACAAACTAAACTAAACTACAACCTTTTGATTTCCACCTATTTCTGAATAGTTTCATAAGACCTGAGGTGGTGGTCTTTTTTGGTAGGTGCCATTCTGTGATGAGAAGTAAGTAGTTGGATTATGCCTAGTCTATATAATTCAGTAGCAGAAGAAACCTGGCTTCAAATCCTAATCCAGGTCAACTATGCTCTGAAACAACCCACAACTTTCAATTCCCTCTGCATATAGGAATTCACTCTTGGAACTTATGCTGTCAAAAATGCCTTTAAAAGTGACTAATATTTTACGTTTCTTCCTTTTTGCAGGGATGCTGGAAGCATTCAGTGTTTTTATGGACTTATATCCTGTCCTTAATCAAGACTAAAGGATGGGGGATTCTCCACCCACTCCTTCCCGCTGCCCTCTGCTCTTTCCAGACCCCTTGGAAGTGACTTTGCCTGTAGGACTCCATCTGGCACACTATGGCACTAAGACTTGAGTTCTTCCTACGTGTGCTGCTGCTGCTGCTGCTGTTGCTTGATGGAGGAACACTGAATGACTTGGAGTTTGGGAGGGGTTGTCTGAGCCACTGTGACCAGGGGGCCATTTCAATCCATGGATTCTTGGACCCAAAGAGAATGGTGCTTTCCACAGAGGTCTGTCACCTCTTTCCTTTCCATGGCGTTTTAGAAACACCCAGAGAGGAATACATCCAGCTTCTCTCCTGTAGGAAGACCTCATGCTTCAGCACAGCACAAGGTATATTACCATAGCCTCACTGGAGCTTATGTTCAAAATTCAAACTGCATTGTCTTTTTAGGCATCAGTCCATAGAGTCCCTCTTGATTTTTGATCCTTTTTCCAAAACAGCTTCAGTCTTGCACTCTTTAACAGCTTTGTACACAGCTTAGAAAAGTTTTGTTTTTCTTTTCTGGAAGGAGAACAGGCTAGCTGTTGCTTCCAGCCATGCCTCTTAATTCCTGACAGTTGTCATACCAATTTAACCTAACTTCTTTTAGGAGGGGCTGTGCTGCTAAGCTTGCCCATAAAATTGAGTCTCCCTTAAAAAATAAATCTACCTTTCGCTATTGCAGGAACTCTATCCACAGGTGATTTACTGACAAATTCCTTGCTTTGTTTCACCCGCATTAGCTGCTCTGATTGTAATTTCGTACACAAACATTTGTTTTCAAGGCCATTCTTTCCCAGTATATCACCTTCCTTGTTGTAGAGGAAGAGTTGTGACTAGATACAGAAACATGGAATTGGGGCAAAGTCAAGCTGAGGCTTCTGGACATTATTGATTAGAGCACACCTTGAGCATTTTAAATTGTGTGTGATGTAAGTGTTGAACTAAGGTCCAAAACTACCCTCGCCCCCATTCTCGTTTGGAACTTTCACTTTGGTGGGATTCACTCACACATTTGCTTCAGTGACATAAAACCTTAGTGGTCTCTGGCATGCCAGCTGAGGGAAAGAACAAAGTTTTAAGTTTTTATTATGTAAACACAAAACTAGGATTCCTGGATCCAGTGAGCCTTTCGGCTGGCAACCAATTGAAACCAGAAACATATTACATGAGGATCCTTATGGGAAAAACAGTGGCTGCAGAAATCTTGATTCAAGTGTCATCTTTGAGAAGGAACTTTTTGAGGTGTGCATTTTAGTTTTCAGTGCTCCATCCTAGCTGAGCACCCCAGTTACACAAAATCAAGTTACATACCCTGGATTTCTTTAGTAAGACCAAGCATCTATTACATTGTGACTATCCAGCTGCATGGTGAAGCCCTCCTCATAGAAGGATCTGTCTTGTCTCAGAGAACAATTAATTGGATAGGTTAAAGAGGATAACGGTGTCATCAAGGGATATGATGCCTCCTTTTGTGCTGTTGATCCAAGAGGGTCTAAGGTCAATGTTTTTTTAAGAGGAAATAAAAAGTTAATGTAAGCCAGCTGAGAGAGCTTAAACTGTAAAGTAAACAATACGGATTGGAAAAGTTGCTTTTTACCTAATGGGACATTTTTAGTTTGTTATGAAATAATGGAAGAAAAAAAAAGAAGAAAAACAGAAAACAGAAAACATAACTTCAGTTCCCTTCTACTCTCCCACTCCTGTTCTTCGTGATTTGATTTGTTTGTCTTTTTCTGATAGGTTGGAAATTGTGTAATAAACTTGATGATATTGTCAAATCTTTTATACTGCATTGTATTGTTTCTTTTCCTTTTGTAAGTTTTAAAAGGGAGGGTGAGTTGTTTTTTAGAAATCTCCATTAAAAAAAAAAGATTGTAGGGGGAGGGATTGGGCTAAATGTGACTTAGATACGTCAGTGAAGATGTATAAATAAGGCAAGTGCCATGTTCTAGCTGGGTGCTAGCCCTTGTACAACCATGGCTTTATGTAATGCTAAATTAGTTCAAAAACCACTTTGTGTACAAAAATTAAAATGCCTTTTTAAAAGATAAAACTTCTATCTCATCATTATATTTAACTAATCATACTTCAGACTGTGTCTGAACATTTGACAAAATCCCTGAGAGTATTGACTTCTGGTTAAACTTAATAATTCCCAGGGGGGTTGCTGTCTTTACCTGAA